ATACAATATAGAGAAAGTAGAATAGAATATAGAATAGTATAATAATATACTACTGTTCTTCCCATTTATAACTGTAACAGTTGCTTGTATCTTTAAAAATTATATTGTTTTAGTTCTTTCCTAGTATAATTTGATTGGTTATTAGTAACCTATAACTATCACTAAGTGTTGTATCTTATGATTCTTGATGAATGCATTCTATTTTATTTTTCTTTATGTCCACTGAGAGCGTATGCACAATCACACTTGGCCAATAAAGAATTCTATTCTATTCTAGAGTAAAATATAGACTAGAATGGAATATAGAGTAGAATAGAATAGAAGAATAGAATATAGAATGGAATGGAATATAGAGTAAAATATAGAATAGAATACGGAATATAAAAGAATAAGAATAGAATGTAGAGTAAAAAGAATAGAAGAATAAAATAGAATAGAATATAGAGTAAAGAATAGTATAGTATGGGTATGGTATGGTATGGTGTATGGTATGGAATGGAATAGAATAGAGTAGAATAGAATAGGATAGAATATGTTATTGGCCAAATGTGATTAGACACACAAAGAATTTGTCACTGGTTGTCAGCACAATAGTGTAGTTATTATCGGCTTCCTATCTTACAGGGCAAAATCCTGGGATCTTTAGAGGGGCACAGAAGGGGGGGCATTTCATTCTTGGAGAGGAAAGCGTGCCCGCAGACAGAGGCCATGACTGAGAAGGCCCATGCCTCCCTCCAGTCAGGTAGCACTGCTTGATTGAGAGGTCCTGAAATGTGCCAACTTGGATGGCACAAGATGGGCAAATGCCATAGGACACAGATCATAACCCTCAAATTACCAGGCCCTGGGCCATGGAGTGCTTTATAGGGGGCAAGCAAGCAACACTTTTCATTGTGCCACAAATTAAGCAAATCACTGCGGTTGTCAACATTACCTGTTGGGGATTGCATGTGTTTGTTTATTTATATTTTATATTTATTAACTGCTCTCTTTCTCTTTCATCCCATCATGTTATATAAATACAGGTAGACTCGACTTACAATGACAATTGGGACCAGAATTTCCATTTCTAAGCAAGGTTGTTTTTAAGTGAGTCATGATCAAATGTATAACCTTTTATGCTATAGTTGCTAAGTGAATCATGGCAGTTATTAAGTGAGTCCATGGTTGTTAAGCAAAATCTGGCTTCCCGTATTGGTTTTGCTTTTCAGAAGCTGTCTGGGAAGGTCACAAATGGTGGATGACACGACTCCAGAATGCTGCAATTGTGGTAAACAAGTGGTGGTTGCCAAGTGCCTGGATTTTAATCATGTGACGGTGGGGATGCTGCAACGGTCATACATGCGAGGACCAAATGATGCAAAGATTTATTTTGCTCATTCTGATGCTGGTTAATTTAGCATTAGGCTTTAAGAAAGAAACTAATACACTATAGTAAAACATACAAAAAGTGAGAATGGAAACCAGGACAAGTTCCTTCCATTACTAAGCTAGCAACTAGATCAGGGGTGTCAAACTGGCAGCCCGCAGGCCAGATAGGTCACACACAAGCTATGCCCACCACATCACGTGATGGCAACGTGACACTGCGAGTTTGACACCCATGAAGTAGACGAATAAGTTCCTTTAAGGAAAAAATACTTTTCACACTAATAGCCTTATAATTTATATTTATTTTAGTTCACTAGAAATTAAAATGCATCTAAATATGCCTTTTGAAACTTGGCTGTGTAGGTTGTCCTCATCTTATGTTTAGCGACCATTCTAAGTTACAACAGCACTGATAATTTTTTTTTACTTAGTACAGGTCCTCACACTTATGACTGTAACAGCATCCTTACAGACTCATGAACAAATTGGGTGCCTACAACAGGTGCAATATCCTGGGGTCATGTGATTCCCCACTTCCAACCAGTTAGGTTCTGCTGTTTGCAGTACCAGTACAACCTTATGGTGATTTATTCTTACTTTATTAAAATTCTCCATACCATCCAAGAAAGAAAGCTCTGATGAATTTAAAAATTGTGCCATATTTATTTATTTAATCACACATATATAGCTACTTATGTCAGACTAATGGCGACTATTAGTGATATTAGTGATACCGGTATAGTTGACCTCTATGGTCATAAGTTTTCTTAAAATTTTAGGTCAACAGACTATTACCTGAGTGGTATAAAGCTCATCAGAAATTTACCTGGAGTATCAGAACAATAGAATTATTAAAACATGGTCCAAAATGCTTGAATAGGGAAAAAAAGAGACAATCCATTGATCTAACATCAACACACGGAATACGAGGAAATACATCTTATTTCAAACGCCTAGGAACAGATCCTGAATCTCTCTTTAATCTGACATTTTTAGTTGGCAGTTCTCAGTGCGAGGCCCACGCATGTTCATGGGGGCTGAGATTGGCACAGTTCTTTAACAAATGCGTGCACATTTTGTTTTTGTTGAATGTACTATGGGGCTGTATAGCAAGTAACTAAAAAGATGTCTGCAACTATTTATCCTTCTCCCTTTTATACATTCTTTTACTTACAGAAAATAGGAAGATGGAGAGCAAGAGAATAGCCTTGCTGGCATCAGTTTAAAAAAATCTTATTCCTAGATCTTTTATAAAATATTAGACATGGAGGTGTCTTTTTCCCGCCCACAGGTATAGCAATCAATTGCTAAAATGTAAGATAAGAGCAAGTTTCCTTACAGTTATGAATCTGAATCAGGTTTTTTTGCTGTCTCCCTACCAAAGTTCCTTCCTATGCAGCTATTATGAGGCTGGGTTTAGAAAAAGGAAATTGGCTTGCCTTGATCCATCTAGACTAGCATTGATGCAGACTGATAATCATCCTCCAGGGTTTCTGCCAGGAGGTTCCCCAGCTGTGCTTGGAGATACTGGAAATGTTTTTCTGCATATAAAGTAGGTGATTTAGCACACAGTTAACTATGGCGGAATAACAAAGCACATTTCTCCCTTGTTCCTTGTTCCAGGTGGGCCACACATTGCTTTCCATCCTACTGCTGAATTTAGTAATACAGCCTGGTCAAACTGCAGTGTATAGCAGATCAGACAGCACACATACATACCCCCTCTCAGTCTCTTTGGAAGCTGCTGTCAGCTCCCTGTGACTTGGACTGGACAATGGCTTCTTCCGAGTTCTGGGCAATCGACTATGAGATTTATGGGGAAGTCCAAGGTGAGTCTAGATTTTATTTCCTCCCTTTGATATTATTCTTGCTACTACAGGATTTTTGTATACTGATACGGTTGCTTGGCTTTCCAGCGGATTGCTCTGTAAATAGTACAGTCCTTGAAATAAGATGCCTGCAGTCTGCTTCTCCAACTGCAGAATCTTGCTTCAGTTCTAATGGCAGTAAGATAGCCTGGGATTGCTTGAAAAGCTATCTGCAAAGGCTCTCTAAAGGAACTTAATTTAAGACGGTACACAAGGGGAATGTATGAAGAAGTTAATTGGGAGCATTAACTTAATTTAGTGATGAATCTACGTATCATAGTGCAGAGAATGAGAGGCTGTTTCTCCACAATACTGAGATCTGGGCCATTTCAGGGAGGGAAGCTAAGCATCTTTGATTCAACCTCTTTTAAATTGAACATACGCAGCCCCATAATCTATTTTAAAAATAACATGATATGTGACATTCAAGAAGTCATATAGCTTCAGCTGCCATTCCCCAGAAACGAATCAAAAGAGGGCAGAACTCTTCTGAGATTTATGCTGTGAGATTTTGTTATTTCTTGGGGGGTAGGGGTAGGGCTGTTCTTAGGAATTAGAATCTGTGATATTTGCTTTTGAGGGATTTCTACCTGTCTCTTAAACTTCAGATAGGGGATCGTTTTCACAATTCTATATCCAGAGTCACTTCATGATTGAGGCAGCATATGTTAATAAAAATATAAACAAAAAAGTAACATAATAGGCCAGTGAACAGCTCTTATCTACAATTCCTGGTTATTAGTTGGCGTATGGTAATGCTGCAGAATGTTCAGTATTATTGTAAACATTCAGCATTTATTTTATTTATTCATTTTTTATTATTCCAATTATCTATAAAAGAAAATTGATCAAGAATATAGTTTCTATGATGGCAATGAAGGGGAAAAGGTAAAGGAATTTCACAAGAGACAAAAAGTACTGTGGGCTGTTTGTAGAAAAGAAATTAGAAAGCAAGATCTTTTGGGGGGCTGAAGACCACAGTTATATTGATGAGTTCTGGATTATCCACAGTATTAAAAGAGAGCAACACACAGCCTGCTTTACTTCTTCTATGAGCAGGCAAACAAATCAGGTAGGGATGATTTAGTAGGATGTTTAACCTGGATTAGGGTTTATTCTATCTAAACAAAGCAGAATTTTAAATGAGTTTGTAAACTTCACAGTGCTGGAACCTGCAAGATTGGAAAGCAGGAATTTATTTCTTCTATCATACATGAAGCTATGATGCAATAAAAATGGTTTAGTCACATAAGGACTGTCATGGTTTCGAGAAAAGATTGGCAGCCCTTCAACGAAAGCTGTAATTCAGTTGGATCATTTGTACCTATGTCATTTTAAGATGGTGATGTCTTAAGACAGCCTTTGCATCTTGGTACCCTCAAGATGTGCGATAATCTCCATTGATTCCATACTGGTGAGGGGTTGTGGTGGGCCAAGTGGACAGCAATGGATTGGAAAGGATTACTATAAAAGATGGCGCCTCTTAAATGATGGTCTTATTTTTAAGAATTTTAAAAGTTCTTAAAAATTTAGAAAGATATTCAGACAGCCCAGCAAAACAGAAAGATTGAACTCCTTGCTTTAAATATTTTAATTACCAACCATTGGGCTATATTGTGAATGGTTTTATTGGTGCTTTAATTTTCTGTTATGAGATACTCCAGTTTATAATCCCTACTGGAAGAACCCAATAGCTCACTTATGACACTTGCTTTAGGAGTACAGTAGATATTTGTTTACCAATGTGTAGCTATAATGATATCTACTGTATCTTTTCTCTTTTCCAGGTGTCTTCTTTAGAAAGGTAAGTTGTATCTTTTCTAATATATTGCTAGATAACTCATGGCCCATTGGGTCATCATCACTTCAGAGATATTGCCTTCAAAAATGGCAGAGCTTCTAATGGATTGGATTTTAAAAAATCAGGGTGGTATTCAGAGAGGTATCTGCCCTGAAAATAGTTCATGTTGAACTGTATAGTACAGTCAAATATGAGGAGTTGATCACAAGACATGTTAGGGTTAGGGGTTTTGGGTTAGGAGTTTTGGGTTAGGGTTAGAGGTTTGGGGTTAGGGTTAGGGGTTTGGGGGTTAGCCCACCGAACCGCAAAAGCCTCCTTCTCCCAGATTGCCCACACCCATGCTTTATGCCATTTTGTATTATGTTATAAAATTTGCCAAATGTCTATTTCATGGGAGTTATGGGTGACATATTTTGGATGCATTCTGTAAGTTAGCCCATTTGAGGTACCTTGGTTCAACAATTGGGCCCCTGTGATATACTGTTTTGGCCAGTTAAAGGTTACATACCCGTACAGACAAACAAGAGAGTTTTAGATGTATAGATATAGATGTATATCGTAGTAAATGAGGGAAGGTCTGTTTCTGTTTTAAATGTACGGTACTGGTTTCCTATTATCATGCACCATATAAAGGAAACCATTGTTGTTCAAGTATAATCCTTGAGCCTGTACTCCTGGATATTAGAGCAGGGTTGCAATCATGGGAGCAATAACAGAGAAGCTGCTCCTATCAGAGGTTGGGGGTTTGGAAGCAAGATCAGGATGAAAGGAACAAGACAGGCTGAACATATAACAGTAGCAAGCCATGTGCAGATAACACTGAATAATCTCAGCACAAGTCTGGGACATTTACATATGTCTTGGCATCAATTGGGTGCTTATATGCATCTTTAAAATATCTGCTGGAATTTTTAAAAAATGTTATTGCAGCTGGTTTTGTCGTGGTCTCAAAAGCCTCAAGGACGGGTTTCCTGCTAAATCCAAGCAAGCTGATAGCTCCATATAAATCCTGTACCTCAGAAAATGTAGGCAGTCCTTGGGAAAATATAGCAAAGCTCCAGGATGAAAACTGGGCTATTGTTGCTAAGCTGCTTCCTTCATTCCCTTAATACCCGAAGGCATTGCCTATCTGAAATAGTCATCTCTGATCAGACATAACTGATTGAGCTTTGATATAACCTTGAAACCAGCATTTCTCAATGAAGTCTGTTCACACACTTAGCTGGAGTCATCGAATGGAGAAATACCAAGCAATGTATATAGGTAGTCCTCGACTTACAATCACAATTGAGCCCAACATTTCTGCTGCCAAGTGAGACATTTGTTGTGAATTTTGCCCCATTTTACGATGTTCCTCGCTACGGCTGTTAAGTGAATCACTGCAGTCGTTAAATTAGTAACACGGGTATTAAGTGAACCCAGCTTCCCTGTTGACTTTGCTTGTCAGAAGGTCACAAAAAGTGATCACATGACCCTGGGACACTGCAACAGTCATAAATATGAGTCGATCGCCAAGCGCCTGAATTTTGATCACATGACCATGGGGATGCCACAACAGTTGTAAGTGTAAAAAATAGTCATGTCATTTTTTTCATTGCTGTTGTAGCTTTGAAATGACACTAAACGAACTGTTGTAAGTTGAGGACCACCAGTATATAACTTTAGAATATCTTGGGAGATTTCCTGATAATCTCTTTTTTTCTTCTCCTGTTAGTACACCGAAGAACAAGGGAGAAAACTAGGATTGGTTGGCTGGGTGAAGAATACAGCCAGTGGGACTGTGACCGGACAGGTGCAGGGCCCAAAGGAGAAAGTGGAGATTATGTAAGTAAGGAAACATGGCTCCTTCAATTAGAATGGTTTTGGTGAAAGAAGTGGGGTGATTACCCAAATAAAGGTGTAGGGTAATACCCCACCCTCTTGGACTTCTGGAAGGTCCTTACAATGTGGCTCTGAAGGTTATTGCTATATTGGAGGTGGTTGGTGGGGTAAAAGAGAAGACTCCACCCTTATACTGTTCATCATTGGGTTTTAGTTTGTTTTTAATTCTTACTAATTTGTTTTGATATTTATCCTGTTTATTATTTGGTAAGCTTCCCAGAGTCACTTCAACAGTGAGAGGGGTGGCACACAAATTAAATCAATAAATAACAAATAAAATGGTGATGGGATTGCTTAAGTGTCTCAGAAGGAATGGTACGGAGATGGGGAAAAGGACTTTATGTGACACCTGAAATTGCCATAGCTGAACACCAATTTTGGAATTGGAGTGTTCTTCGAAATTCAGTATAGTAGTCTTCGACTTACAACCATAATTGAGTCCAAAATGTATGTTGCTAAGTGAGAAATTTGTTAAATGAGTGTTGCCCCATTTTACGACTTTTCTTGCCACATTTGTTAAGTGTATCGCTTCAGTTGTTAAATTAATAACATTGTGTAGTGAATCTGGCTTCCCCTTTGACTCTGCTTCTCAGAAGGCCACAAAAGGTGATCACATGACCCTGGCACACTGCAACCGTCATGAATATGAACCAGTTATCAAGCATCTGAATGTAAAATCAGGGGACCATAGGGATGCTGCAATGGTTATAAGTGCGAAAAAAGGTCATAAGTCCCTTTTTCCAGTGCCATTGTAACTTCAAATTGTCACTAAATGAACTGTTGTAAGTTGAGGACTAGCTGTACAAGTCATCAGGATTGAAGTTGGAATTGTTTGGGGTTTGTAGCCTGCACTTGCTGGCTAAAGATAGAATGCCTTTGGTGATAAAGATCACAGGCCTTAATTGTCAATTTTCCAAGCTAATACTAGACAGTTGCTGTTAACCAAACAGCTAAGCAACTACTTCTGCAGTAATCCACAGGATGCTGAATACAATGTAAAGTTATTTATGTTCCTGTCCTGATCAGAGTTTGTTCTATTGCCATTTAAAAATTAAAATCTCCAAATTAAGGCATTTCTAACCATTCTTGTTCTTGCTCCTGAAAGAGAAAGTTCAAAAGCCCCATTCTGATTAGGTTTCACATTAAGCAGCATCAACCGACTTTGTATCTTAAAATCATGTGCCATGGTTACTTTTGTATATATCCTTTAACAAGTGCTGTATTTCTTACGGATTGTCACATGTGGCTTGAAACCTGTGAGGGGGACCATGCTTCTTGCTCTTTCTGAATGGCCTTCTGGTTCTCTTGAGGTGGAAAACAAACTACAGGTAGTCCTCAACTTACGACCAATTAGTTTAGCAATTGTTCAAAGTCACAAAGTCACTGAAAAGGTTACTTAAGATTAATCCTTTGATTTATGACCGTTGTGACATCCCTATGGTCTCGTGGTCAAAATTTCAGCACTTGGCAACTTGCTTGTATTTGCAACAGTTGCAGTGTCCTGGTGTCACATGCTTGCCATTTGCAACTTTCTCAACTAGCCTGACACCCAAAATTAATGGGGGAAGTTGGAATTACTTAATGACCGCATGATTCATGTAGGAGATGACCACGTTGAGCCCAAGAGGGGGGTCAGATATGTCATCAATCTTGATCTCCCTTCAGGCCAACAAGAGATATAAGTCCAGCCCACCTTGAATTCCTTGGTTGATTCTTACCTATGCCAACTCGCTTTCACCGTTAGTAGTTCAAATTCTTGTAGAGAGCTTTAGCATAAAATAAATCTATATATTCATCTGAACTGCCGGGATTCTGGATTTCCTATGCTTGACAATTCCTTTAACAACTGCAGTGCTTCACTTAACTGTGGCAGAAAAGGATGTAAAATTGTGTGCAACTCACTTAACAACCCCCTTTACAAGAGAAATTCTGATGCTGATTGTGGTCATAGGTCAGGAACTAGCTATAGTAGAAATGAGAACCTATTATCACCATTTTCACAATCTGAAGATAGCCCCCTATTAGTAATTTATAGGATTATTTCCCTTCTACCCAGCCTCCATTGAGAATGCCTATGTAGGGTACCTCTCCAGACTCTGCCTCTAGAGGGAATTGACACCCTTAAATCTAGGACTTGGGTCAGCATGCAATTAGAGAACTGGTCCAGAAGGAGATGAAGAAAATAGCTTTATGAATTTTTGAGCCACAGCAGAGGTGATTCTGTGTGGGGGTAGAAGGAGGTAAGGAAGAGCAAGTGAGCTAAAGCAGGGTCGGAGCTTAGAGTGACCCCCGAAAGCTTTGTGTTGTGTTGGTGTAACAACTTCTGCAACAGTGCTTTGTCACCTTTAGAAAGATGACAGCCAGAGGCAATTACTATAGCAACCAGATCTTCTATCACCTTGAAGAAAGAGAGAGAGAGAGCATGAACGGGGGAAAAAATATCTGGGACAGTTGCCATAGCAACCTGCCTCTACATATTGTCTACCTTCATGTCTCAGGGGGGGAGGGGGAAATTGGGGCCATTTCCATAGCAACCACACTACTCCATCCCTGGCTTTGAGGAACCAGGGATAAATAGGAAGGAGATCATCCATAGCAACACTATTCTTCAATGCACATTCTTCTTCTCCCCCCTACCCTTTTCTCCTCCCAAGTCAGTGCAGAATAAAAAAGCAAAGGTGTAAAACCATCCATGTGACTCTGAGTGTTCTTTTGCAATTAAGTATTGGGTGGGAATAAATAGGCAGCATTTCAGTTTTTGAAATGGAATACCAGCTGGGCAAATGTATTGTGTGTGGGCAGTGTGCAGAAAGTTGTTTTCTTATGTTACGTGGGAAAACTCATTCATAGGTTCTTTATATAACATGATCCTTAGAACATTTCTTTAGATTTCACAAGCATGGACTACTGATATCAATACGGTGCTTTTATATATTTTTTTATTTGAAAATCAAACAGTTATATCCATTTCACTTTTGATGGTTGCAGCTCACATACACTTAGGTATTGGACATGGTCTTCCAACTGATGTTTGCCTTTCCCTTGGCTGCTGCCAAATTGCAAATGCAAATTATTGTAAAATACATGGGGAGCAGTCATGGTGATTGTACTTAATTTGATTCTAATTAAATGTAAATTAAATGACATTTAGATTGTGTTTTGCCCATTTAATGTACAGAGCCTAGCATGCCATGAAAGGTGGGATTTGCATGTTATGCATAAAATCTTAAAATGTTAAAAGCATAATTGCTATGGACACCCAATGAATAAACCACATTCTAGCTTAGTGTGATGATCTCATTCATGCAAGCCAATAGCTGGGTTCCTACAATATTAAATTATACGATTCAATTTTATCCTGGTCTAGCATGTTGTATGAACAAAGCGAAAAAGCAACCTTCAGCCCAGAAAACAATCTAAAAACTAGCAACGTTATAATGATGAAAGGGTTTTATGATAAGATACCACACTTGATCTTTGTGGGCCAAAATGTTTTGTGTGGAATATGTCTACTTTATAAGACAATTAGTCTATTAGTCCATGAAAACTGTTTACACAGTATTTGCTTAGTCTGTAAAATTTAGAAGATATTGGTTTTGCTGCCACAAACAAATTCAGAACTCTTGGTGAAGTTATTTTAAATCGAATAAGACTGTTTTCCCCCCTATTTCAATGATTACATTTAGTGCTAAATGTAGCATATCTATTTTCTTTTATTCTCAAAATGAGATTACAGAGACAAATCAGGTGACAAATGAGCAAATTACTCATTCACATTCAGTTGACTTCATGGCTTTATTTAATTAATTTAAAAGACATGTGAGTGTCCATCTTAAAAAAAAACACCTCTGGGTGGCTCACAAGATAGGTTTGAACTTGAGTCTACCTAGTTTTATTCTAACATAACGTTCTTTTTTTGGCTCAGGTTATAAAATTATAAGTACAGGTAGTCCTCTGGCCTTTGTACTTCTAAGCATCACAGTGTCCCTGCAGTCACATGATCAAAGGTTGTGTACTTGATAATTGTTGCTGTCATGTATTTATGAAGGTCTCCTGGGGTCATGCAATCCCCATTTGCAACTTTCCCAGCTGTCTTCATTAATGGGGGGAATGGGATTCACTTAACGACTTTAGCAATAATGGTGATAAAATTGAGCACAACTTTTAACTGCATCACTTACTGGAAGTTCCAGTCCCAACTGTGGTTATAAGTTGAGAACAACCTGTATAGTTCAGGCATCTATTCTACCACTGTAGGTTTCAAAAATCATCCAAAGATATCAGAAAAAAAAGTTTTAATATAGATAAGCTTAACCCCTTAATTCTCCCTTAAGGTGCGGTAATGTACACATTTGACCTCAAAGGGGAGGGGGGGCTTATATTTAGGGGGCAATGTTAAAACTATCTCTGTAAAAGCCTATGAGATCCCTTGTTTTTCCAATTGTGTGGGAATTTATCCCATTGCAATTATTTAAATCTTCACAAAAGCATATTTAAATCTTCTCCCCACTTTTTTCCTTCTGCATCTTTATTTACCGTCTTCAACTTAATTGGAGCCATTTGTTCTGCGGGTAACTTTTGGCAGTATACTTACTTCCTTTCAATGATTCATGGTGACTCTGTAATAAAATGTCTAATAAATGTGGTTCTTGCCTTCCAAATTCCAACAAATGTGCACATTGCACCTGATGGCTTTTGGGGTCTATGAATAGACATATTCCTATTCTGGCAATGTGCAGGGTAAAACAGGAGAAGAAGGAATTGCGCTGTTAATTTTTGCTTCTTCTCCCCCGCCCAGGAAGAACTGGCTACGCAGCATCGGAAGCCCCATGTCTCGCATTGATCAGGCTGTGTTCTCAAATGAGAGGCAGATCACTGCTCTGGAGTTCCAGTCCTTCACCACCAAATATTAAAGGCAGCTGGCTGGATGGGATAGGGCTGTGTCTAAGTACTACAAGGGCTTTTCTACTTTAAAGGAAGTATCACCTTCTCCCTCAACAACAAGTTTGCTACTGACATTAGTATGTGCTTTAGACCTATGGCACTTCCAGGACTGATTCTTCCAGGTTGCTAGTGAACTGGAAAGCACCTACTGCAGCACTGCCCTTAAACATCCTCTAAAACAACTTTTAGTGTTTTTTTTACTGTTCTTTTTCCGCTTTTTTATAATTTGTAAAAAGGTAGTAAGGGAAAGAACTAAAGGTGGAAGGAAATGTGTTCTCCAAAATCTTCTCTTTCCCAATGTGTTCATGAACATACTGGGCAGTTATCTTTTAAGCAAACATATAAAGAAAATTTTCCTACTGAAAGCATTCTGTTTCTTCTCCTTAACAATAATCCCCAAACCCAGCAAAGACTATTAGCTCATTAAAGATGTTCATTGAAGGAAAGCAAAACTGTCTTTTTTTCCAGTGGAAACTAGGCAAGCTGATATCCGCAGAAGCTTTTTGGAGAAGAAAAATAGTATTTGTTTCTGGAGAAGCTCTATGAGCACCGGAGAATGGAGGTAGGAAGATTGAGAGAAGCAGTAATATATTACTGGTAACATCAGTGGCCTGTTCTGCAGCTCTTATGGCTCAGCTGCATCATGTATTTCAATAATTAATGTGGGTTTCTCTTTCTCTGCTGCAATTGAGATACAGAGATTGTCCATTTGTGAAAGTGTTCTGATTATTATCTGTCCACTTTCCCAGGCTACAAAAGAGACTTTTCCTCTTGTTATAAGTCACAATATCTGTGTGCTAAAAGTATAAATTCTAGAACATGGAATAGTGAAGAAACAAAAGAAGAAATGACACAACACTCAAAATTTATTAGCAGAAAATTTCACCCAGCAAAATAGTTTCTTCTCCTCACAGCTGTTTGTTGAGTTATTCCTACTCCTTGTTCTTGCCCAATCTTTTGTGGTCTTCAGCATTATGGATGAAACAACAGATTTTCTGGTTTGGAGAGAAACCTTTGAAGCTGCCAAGACTGTGAAAATGACAGGCAAATGGAATGCCAAGTGTTCTTTGAAGTCTGGAGATGAGGTGTGGGTGTAGTTCTTGCTGTAGGTTTTTAAAGCAGAGAGGGGCTGGATGTTTTGGGATGGGAGGGGGTTTAAACTCATTTAACAGTGCTTTCTGCAAAGTCTCATGCCTTGTCCCAACGTTCTAGCCCAAATGTTCATGTGTGATATTGTTTATATTGGTTGCTTTCACCACCTTTTTTAAACTGTAGTTGGTTTTCCTTGAAGGAAATAGCCCTAGAATTTAACAGGTTATAGTACAAACATCTGACGTGCACTTATGGGAACTGCATTAGTGTTTTGAAGGTAGCAAATTTATAGGTACATATGTAATGCAGAAATATAGAGAGGTAGAGAGGGCTATCATTATACAGGCAAAGCATGAAAATTGAATTCAAAATCTTTCATAGCAAATGGCAGCTTGGGAGGAAGAGAAGCACCTTCCCCTCCTGATATATATTTTAGATAGACAGACAGACAGACACCCATTGATAGATACCGATAGATAGATATAGAAATATATGATAGATAGATAGATAGATAGATAGATAGATAGATAGATAGAGATAGATAGATAGATAGATAGATAGATAGATAGATAGATAGCACAGGTTAGTGTAAAAATGGGATACAACCAGGCATTGTAACTTTTAAACATTCTGTCCAAACTGGACGCAACTTTAAAATTTAATATCCGTACAGAATCTACATCCTTGATGAATGGGATACCAGCAAAACCAGACTTGTTCTGCTTGATCCAATACACCAATCACATATTTCAGAACTCTGCTTTTCAATTATACTAGATGCTCCAAGGATGCTCATAGACAAGATAGTAAGGTAAGATGAAGTGCATCCCTTGTCCTTAGTCCCCACTATCTGGAATCCCCGCCTAGTTTGTTATAGCATTTTCTTTACACAGGAAATGACTTGTTACTTTTTAAAGTGCCCTAGTTTTTTTTTCTCCAACTGCTAAACCATCCCTCTACTTTAATCGTTGTGCCCCCAATATAATTTTGTTTCCCCTTGGTTATGAAGAAAGGGCCTTATTTTGCTGTTTTGGATTGTGTCATTTGCATCTTGGCAGAGCTGGCAGTGGGCTGTAGAAATAAACATTTTGTAATTTTTCAGCCTGTAGAGGTGGAGGATACTTGTAATTTTCCACAGAACTAGAAGGTGCTGAACTTAAACCATCAAAAGGGCCCTTCTTTCCACTCACTTCATTCAGGCTTGTTTCCTTCTTAGGAACTTGCCATAGGAATACTGAAGAATGCACATTCATTCTAAATTCAGTTGCTGGGTTTACAATACTGTATGAACCATCGGATTCATTAAACAAAAACAAACCAAAATAAGGTACAAAATTAACTGAGTTTTGTATCCCATTCCAAGCCAATGTAAACCACATCAGGACTTACAGCCATGGATTTTACAGCCTACAATGCTGACCAAAGTCAGATGCAAAATTTACACAGCACCACTACAGATTAAAGCTCAGCATCTTTTGCACCCACAGCTTATTTATTGCAGAACCCCCCCTCCCCCTGCATACTCTGGCTGGGTTTGCATAACACCTTCCCCCTGGGATAACTCAACCAGATTTACTGAATCATCTCAATTACTTGGATGCACATAAAAACACCTAACTGTGCTGGCTGGGTCTGCACTACCCATTGCCCAAACACAAGCAGTAATGGTTGCTTAAATATGGTTTATTCATTGGATGAACCACAATTAGCAAGGTTCACACCTTAGCTAAAGTCATCACCCCCTCCCCACTCAAATGGGAAGATCCGATTATTAAGCAAGGTTTGTGAAGTGAACGAATGTTTAGCATGAATCTGTTTTCAGTGTAAGCGGCTTGGTTAAACGGAAAGGCGCACAGAAAAAAAACAACCCCAAATCTCCCTGAACGCGCCCAGGACCCTCCGTCTCCCCTCTTCTCCAGAAACGCTTTGGCCACGTGTGAGCCCGGCCTGGCTCCCCAAGCGGTTCCGCGTGAATGGCGGGGGACGCGCCCAATAGCTGATCCGGCCTCGTGGCTCGGAGGCGGGGGCTTCTTGTCAAACCGAGCCGGGCTAGGCAGTCCGTTCCGCAGCCAGGGCTGGCGGGGCTCCTCCATCGAAAGGCGGCGGCGGCAGCAGCAGCAGCATCCTGCTGGCACGCCCGGGCTCTTCCCGGCGCCACCTGTGATGCTGGCGGAGGAGCAGCAGAGGGGAAACGGCGATGCGCGCACCGGACGCGTCTTGAGCCGAAGGAGACGCCGGGCGCCTGTGGCAGGAGGCGGCGGCGGCGGAGAGAAGTGAGCCGCGCTTTGGTGGCGGAAGGTGGGGACGCTGTGGCTTATTGTCTCGGCGATTCGGGAAGGGACAGGGTCGGGGTGCCCAGCTGCTCCCGCAAAGCCCCTGCCGCTCTGGGCCTTGGATATAGCCGGCAATATCAGCGGGCTCTCCAATGCGGCATCTTGGAGAGAGGTGGAAGAAACGGGCAGGTCTCCCGAGCCGAGGAGCGGTCCGTGGCTTTCATTCTGGGTCTTTGGCAGGGCCAGAAGGGGCGGTTTGGGGGCGACATGCAGGAGGGTTTGTCCCTCCAGCGCAGGAGATGCTCTGCGGGAGGTGGCGCAGCGTGGGCTGGCCAGGCGGCCGCTTCAGCCCGTGCGCTCTCTGGGTGGCTCCTGGTGTCCTCTGCGCGAAAGGGAAGGCGCGTTCCTGAACGGGGGACGCCCTGGCCAGCGGCGGTCGTGTGGGGCTCGGGGCTTCTAGGCCGGTTCCCGGATGGATTTCGAGGGCCTGCCTGCCCCCTCCCTCCTTCCCTCCCTCTCTACCTTTCTTTAAAGATCGAGGCAGAGAGAGCTACGGAGATTTATCGGAAGCTTATCCCTCCTTCTCTAAAGTGGACGCTGGATTTTCTTCCATAGGGTTGGCAAAGCTGCTGGAAGCTTCACTCCCTTACAGCTTCCCGTTGGGGCACAGAGATCCTCGCTCCGATCGCTCCCTGCTCCAATCAAAATTGGTTTTTACCTAAGGAGAAAACCGCTCAAATCTTAAGCCCTGCTTGCTTAGCCCTTAGGGCTAAGAGGAGAACGTCTGTCTTCTTTCTTTGAAAGGAAAGCTAACCTTCTCTAACAGAGAAGGTTTCAGAGCCTTGAGCAAGGGATCTCCTGTGTGCCACTGCGTTTGTATTTGAGTACATGTGCGTGTGATGTTTTCTCCATATTTAGCCATGGGGGTCCTCTCCCACCCCCCCTTTTCTGAACAGCCGGGACATGATGGACTCTTCTTGAGCTGCATTGGCTGCATTTTAGCAGGATCAAAGAAATTTTGCCCTGGCTTACAGATGTTCGCCTAGAAGGAAAACAAAGTATTTCCCCTTTTCCCCACTTCCTCCCTCCCCTCAGGCACGGATTATTTTAGGATTAAGTGCAAGAAAAAGCTTTGGCATAAAGACCAAGTAGGTACTTGATTTATGAAGGGAATAAATCATTTTGCCAGTGCAATGTGTCTCAGAGCAGAAACAGGAGATAAATCAGAATCTACCTGTGGATTTTTAAAATTTCTTACAGCAGGTGAGCAAAATTTTCTGATTTCTGGTTGTTTTACCATTAGGCGCAATGCTAAATCCTCCATTCCTAATCCGTCTGTTGCCACAAAGCTACCTTGAGGTGATCAGATGTTAATTTTGACAGGCACACAGTCCGATCTTCGTTCAGTTTTGGTTTTCAAAATAAATTGTGTATACAGCACACAAAGTCACAATTTGCTTAACCAAGCTTTATCCAGTTGGTTGGTTTTCTATAATGATTCAAAAACCTGAATTTGTATAACAGGCTAAGCTACAAAAAAGTGACCCACACTGTGGCTTTGCTCAAAATGTTAAGCCAGCCTTTCACGCCATGAGTGGGTTCCCACATTACAGATATTTTAACCGTGATTTGTTCAATAAGCCATTATTGGCTGGACATCATACTAAGACATGAGCTATTATGGCATATGAACTACAGTGAAAGAGTTCGTATCACATGTTCAGCCCAAAATCGAGAAATCTTTTTATGGCTTAGCAGCATGCTGGGTGAAGTTGACTATAGTAATGTATGTACATGCAAGAAAACACGAGATCTTGTAAACATGGCGCTTAATGTCCTTTCTTGTGTTTTAGAAGGGTTCAATGCAAGGATTCCTACATTCCTTGCATTTCAAATGAAAATGTTGTGTTCCCACTGAGCAAATGGACACTTAAGAGACCTGGTGTACAAAACATCTGGGGTAGGATGCAGGGATTTTAGGTTCCCTGGATGAGATCTGG